CATTTACAGAGTTTTTTAAAACCCCAATAAAAGAAAAATCAACATGAAACATACACCCTTCCTCTCATCTGATTTATCAGATTGATGACAGAAGCAACTGTATTTTCTTAGGATATATCTGCAGGGTTAGTAAGTGGTCTTTGCTTACTACACCTTCTGAAATTCAAAGCGCACAGGAAAAAAGAAGTGTTACCTTTCTTTATATTTTTTCCCCTACTTGGAATACTTCTACCTTTAAAGTTCTTTAAATGGGCCGAGCACAGTGGCTCAAGCCTGTAATCCCAGCACTTTGGGAGGCCGAGCCGGGCAGATTACCTTAGGTCAGAAGTTCGAGACCAGCCTCGCCAACATGGCGAAACCCCGTCTCTATTAAAAATACAAAAATTAGCCAGGCATGGCGACGGGCACCTGTAATCCCAGATACTCAGGATGCTAAGTCAGAAGAATCACTTGAACCCAGGAGGCAGAGGTTGCAGAGAGCCGAGATCACGTCACTGCACTCCAGCCTGGGTAACGGGGGGAGATTCCGTTTCAAAACAAAAATAAATATAGGCCAGGCATGGTGGCTCACGCCTGTAATCCAAGCACTTTGGGAGGCCAAGGCAGGTGGATCACTTGAGGTCAGGAGTTCAAGACCAGCCTGGCTAACATGGTGAAACCCTGTCTCTACTAAAAATACAAAAATTAGCCAGTTGTGGTAGCACACGCCTGTATTCCCAGCTACTAGGGAGGCTGAGGCGGGAGAGTAGCTTGAACCTGGGAGGCAGGTGTTGCAGTGAGCCAAGATCGCACCACTGCACTCCAGCTTGGGTGACAGAGCGAGACTCCATCTCAGAAAATACATAAAAAATTTAAATAAATAAATAACAAATTTCTTTAAATGATTTTCAACCTGAGCTTCAAGTTAAAGTCCCCAGGGAACTTTAAAATACTGATGCTTGGTCCCCGCCCCCAGGAATTCTCATTGAATTGTCTCTAGATAATTTTAATGTCCAGTCAGGGCTGAGAACCCTTACTCTAAGTCTTCTCAGCCTTCTCAATCAAGCCTTTGCCTCCTAGTACATCATGTATCCTTTTCTCTTCTAAACACCTGCCACTTTTGAAGCCAGTATAGATACTGTATATTACCTGTTCTCCCAAATGAATCATAAAGCCCTTTGACGCTGAAGTCACCTTTTATTCACATCTTCTTTTAATCTCCCACAGTGCCAAATCATAAGAGAGCAATATTAGCCAATATATACAAAGGACCTATTATATAATTCTATATTCCCTAGTAGGGACAGCATTATTATGCCAATTTACAAATGAAGAAACTGAAGTCTTCAGAGAGATTAAGTGGCTTGTCACAAATTACATGACTAACAAATGACACCTGTACTTCACCCCAGATTCATCTGACTCCAAGCTCTTCACTCTTGCAAAACAGCAGCAACAACAAAGACGTGTAGTTGATTAGGTTCTAAATAACTTGACTTCAATTAAATGCTTTTAAAAATTAAATAACCATTTGTATCAGCAAGTGGGCCATTGTAAAAATAAAGGTAAGAGAAACGAAGGTCAGAACACACTTGGTCTTATTTTTCAACTAGCCAAAATAATGCAATGAAAACCTATGGTTTCTCATCTTAAGGAACGTTTTCTAAAACAGCTTTAGGCTGAGAGTCTTTATGAGAGTCTTTAGATGATAAACTACTCCTTTGCCTTCCTAGAAATGAATCTTACCAACACGTTCCATTATCTTTCCATGAAAAGAAATATTTTTTT